GCTGACCTTCCCCGATCGTACCCAAGTTCCCGAGCCGAGGCAACTTTGGTGATGACGGACACGTGGCCTTTGACATGAGTCATGGGTTTCCTAAATTTTCCCAAACTAAATATTTAGGTGGTGACTTTGTATCTGGAAAAGCAGTCTATTTTTTCGTTGCCTGTACATCTTCGATTTGGATCGGGCGAGAGGGGGTGCTCATAGCTGACCTTCCCCAATCGTACCTAAGTTCCCGAGCCGAGGCAACTTTGGTGATGACGGACACGTGGCCTTTGGCACCGAGTCAGGGTTTCCTAAATTTCCCCATAATAAAATATTTAGGTGGCGACTTTGTATCTGGCAAAGCAGTCCATGTTTGGCACTTCTTTTCAAAAATCTGTTTCTCAAAACGATTTGCCGGATTTGGACTCTTTGGTTCAGATTAAGAACCGTGACACAAATCGAGTCCGAACTGTAGTGAGGGCCTCACACGGGCGCGTCTACAATATGATTCCAAGAATTTCCTCACTCCTTTTGGCACCTTTACTGGTCTTGTTGGTCTGCTTTCCCTTTATGCAGTCCACACAAATACCAAAGTTGGTAAAATCAAGAGTCGGAAGGACTTCATCATTAACCAACCTTTTTATTCTCTCAATGGAGATATGTCCCAATCTTCTATGCCAAAGAATAGAGCAGGACTCATCAACAATATTACGCTTAATGCCAATATCACCATACAAGGTTAAAAGATTTTGTTCAAAAATTGGATCTAGATTTAATTTGTACAAACTGTTAATTAAAGTACCAAATCCTACAGAAACAGAGTCTTTAAACAAACTAAAATTTGGACCAACAAACTGAAATTCAAATCCAAACGGTACTAGTTTAGAAACATAAATTAAATTTTTAGAAAAAGATGGAATGTAAAGAGTGTTTTCAAGATTCAAAACAAAGCCATTTTTTAAAACAAGTCAGAAAGTTCCAACAGCTTCAACGTGCGAACGCATCCCATTGCCTGAATAGATGCCTTGTTCACTTCCCGTCAGTTTCCTTAGGCTGAGGAAGCCCTGCATGGTATTAGCAATGTGAATTGTAGAACCCGAATCAATCCACTAATCATATTGATGAGTATTAACAAAATTAGATTCATAACACACAAGAGATATGAGATTACCTTTCTTCTCAAGCCATTTCTTATACTTGGGACAGTCTTTCTTCATGTGACCCTTTTTCTTGCCGAAGAAGCGTGCACCCTTATTGCCATGATTTTCAAAACGACACTTTACCAAGCTTCTTCCATTTCTGATCACCTTTTCCCTTTTTCCATTGTCCTCCTTTATGTGTTGCTAAATGAGCACTTTCTACTTTTCCATGCTTCAATCTCTCCTCCTCTTGAACACACATGGTCAAAAGTTCATTGATAGACCATTTTTCCTTCTGTGTGTTATAAGAAATTTGGAATGCTTCATATTCTACAGGAAGAGAATTGAGTATGAAATTAACAAGGAATGACTCAGAAATCTCAATCTCTAAGGACTTAAGACGAGCTGCAATGTCCCTCATTTCCATAATGTGCTTACACACACTCCTAGAATTGTTATGCTTCATTCCTGATAGTTTGTTCATTAAGGTACTTGCCAATGCTTTGTCAGAACTAACAAATTGCTCTTCAATAGCCCTCATGTAGTTCTTGACCTTATCAGATGGTGGGATTAAGCCCCTAATGCTCTGGCTAATATGTGACTTTATGAGCATTAGGCTTAAGCGATTGGATCGCTCCCACTTATCATAAGCACTCTTTTCGGCAGCGGAACTCTCGTCCGTGGGTTCAGGAGGTTCATCCACACGGAGTGCCAGATCGAGGTCCATGCACCCTAATGTTAGAAGGATTTTGTCCTTCCAGTTTGAAAAATTATCACCGTTCAAGAATGGAATACGAGAAGACTCATTAGATAGTACAGAGGTAGAAATCTCTGCAATTACCAAGAACATTATTAATGCTTTGAAACAATAGCTATAGTCTGAATCAACCAATGTCAAATTCAGTAACAAATCTAAACCTTCCTGTGGGTAGAGGTCACTAAACTGCATTAGATTTGCTATTACTTTATAATAAGACTAATGGGTTCCGAAATATGTAAGGAAAAGAAAAATCATACCTGTAGGTTTAGAGTGTTCAATCCCTTTAATACCCAATCCATTATCTTATTCCAATTAAATTTCATAAATAATTACTTTCCTGTGGGACCAAGAAATTATTTATAAAACATAATTGCAATGTAAAAATGCCAAATTAACTTGTAACTTTATGTGATCAAAATACTGAGGATCGCATCTTTATGTCTTAAGATGTTGTGGCTACTCTTAAAACAGAATAAAATTTTTAAATATGGCATAATTTATTAATGTGAGCAAATCCTTATAGTCACAACAAATACATAATCTTTCAATGTACATAATGTATAATACATACAATCAGAGTAATATCACATGAAAAATCCCAAGATCAAACACATGTAGTTCAACCTTATACTAGAATTTGCTTAAAAATTGGACCAAAATAAATTCTATAAGCCCAACACATAGTGTATTCATACTCTTATTTCACATGAATTTTTAATGCATAAATAATTACCTTAATGCATGTAATATAATATTACATTATTTTAGATAACATGCCAATGAATCTAAAAAATTATAAAAACTAAAAGAACATGTTATAATTCACTGTATGAGATTCAATTGAATTTGCTTACTATTTAAACATGCAACGATAATAAACAAAACATCCTTAACAACATGTTAAAATTTCTTTATAAAAATTCTACAAATAAATTCAAATAAAAGTATGAGAATTTCTAGATCTGATATAGAATCAAATTAAATATTTTGTTCTTTAATGTGTGTGTCAAAAATAATAGTTAATAACACACAACAAGTCTCCTACATAAAATAGATTCAGAATAGGAGAAAATTCTAAATAAATGTAAATACCACTAGCACAAATCACGATGGACTCCACTATTGCAACAGTGCTTCCTTTTTCTTTAATAGTGATTTTCAAAAGTTATGCAATACGAATTACTCATTCTGATTCTACAATGATTCTGAATTGTTAAATTTTATGGTGTGAATTAGATTCAGTATGCGACTGTACGCATCAAAACATCCAGTAAATTGTTGAATAAAACATTCTACA